TTATTCTCTTGGATAATTTCAAACAGATTCAAATCAACTAAAATAAATTTGAAATCACAATAAATGATATAAATTGACTCTTTTTCCATTGAGATGATATCCGAACATTAATAATTACGTTAGCTCAAATGCAAAATAATCGTGTCAAATACGATAAAATAGTTTCAAATGGTATTGCATACATTAAATCAGTGTGGGTTATTTTCTACTCCATATTATGGATACATTTTATCAGTTGGTATCAGATTTTTTTTGGTCCTTCTCAAATGTATACATCGAATAACAACAATTGCATCTTAATGATCAAACATAATAGCATGAAATAAATCCGATGATGTCTCCGTTGCAAAGTCCACTTAAATGTGTGAACTTTTAAATAAATTTGCAAGGCAACGAATAATTAACCCGATGGGTAATTCATTTGAAATAAACGATCCTTGACAAAAAGGGGGTAGTACCACAGGTACTGTACTGGCGTACAAAATGCATGCAACCCCAACGACGTCGTAAAAATAAAAATAAAATATGTGAATAGCACATAATGAAATATTAAATATGTGGCCTTAGAGCACATAAATAAATGCAGCCTAGAGCGCATTTCGCATGCGAGCAACGATTCAAGAGACACAAAATAACGCGGATATAATAAAAAAAAAAAAAAAAAATCACGATTACATAAAATTATATATAATTTTCATGTTTCAAAACGCCTATTATAAATGACATATCACATTATTGAACTGATTTGATATGAAAAAAAAAAAAAACATAATCACAACAAAATGACACATGGTCATAATTGGTATAAAATCAACATATTATGCTCACGAAATGTGACAGTTTGAAAACAAAAATTTAATTGAATTTTTATTGAAAACACCATTAATTTATTCATACCTAATGAACTTCCCAAATTTGAATTAACGAAATATCAATTAACAAAACTGATTGGCAGTATTTCTAAATATAAATTACACACTTTAAATACTATTCATTATAAATTGTGTTGTCTCATCGACGACAGGCAAATAACTTTTCCGAAAAACTTCAATTTAAAAATAACTCGGAGAGACCAATGGTATTTAAATATATGGAACTAAAATGCATTTATATTATGCTTGACAAAATTCAAATTTTTGACATTATGGATTTTTTATAATTTTACATGGCAGTCTATTGGATTTCGTTGGAACATTCTATTATAAGCAGTTTGGTTAAACGAAAAGCTAAAAAATATGGCTATGTGACATAATAAAATAACTCTCAAAAATCAAATAAATTTACATATAAATATTGTGTCAAACAATTGAGAAATTCGATATAATTAAAATAAATTTAACAACTCCATTTTATTAAAATTGATATAATAATCAGCCGAATATTAATAATTACATTTTAAGTGACTAACATTCTACTACACTTGATTATTTGGGTTAAAAAAAATAAATAAAAAAAAAACGTTAAATTAAATATATATTTTTTTTTTGCAAAGTTCAACGTCAATGAAAATTTTACCATACATTTCGTTACTATATACAATTCTAATTCGTATAAAATTTAACTTTTCTATTTTTTTTAAAGATATTAAAGTTGATTATGAAATTCGAGCTATTTGAACGAACATTGAATCAAATCAATTCCGAAAACGTTAGCATTTTATAAATAAAATCACGTTAAATTTGTATTATTTTTTTTTTTCAATAAGAAGTTTTCTTCACTTACTTTTTCAAATCAATTCATCAAAAAAATTTAGCATTTTTTTTATATTAATATTCTACTACTTTTTCATATACTAAAAATTATATTTTCTTTTTTTTTTGAAAATGAAACAAAATTTTGCAGTCAAATATAATGAATTCATTTTGTACGCGCACTTAAGCACTCGTGACAATACATGACGAAGACATCATTTTAATTAAATTTTCAAATTTCAATGAAAACCCATATCAAACAATCACAAATCAGAAATAAATATAACGACACAATTGTCGAATATACATTAAATAAATTCCCATATAAAATCAAAACACTTACATGTTAGCGAAACTTAAAACAATTTAATTACGCAAAAATCAAAATTTGTTCCCATGGTTTTCTCATACCTATTTTCAAAAACTAAATTCAACAAATGATAAATCCATCATACTTGATATATATTATGATCATTTGCAAAACAATTTGTTTTACTACGTGAATTTTATCTATCAACAATGGAATCACCATAAAATCCGTATAATATTGATTATAATTTTTCATCAATAACAAAATTTACCAATTTTGATTAGTGTCAATCACTAACATTAATATTCTTAAGAAAAACGACTTGACAATTTATTTTAAGCCTACAGACAGTTGACGGACAAGTATATTTCGCGAGGCGTAGCTAACCTCTGAGAAAATAAATACAATTGGACATAGAAAATGACGAAACAATATAAAATAAGTTAGAAAATTTTTTTTGTTTCTATAAAATATGCGTGGAACGGTGAAACAGATATTGAAAAAAATCGTAACGAACTGGAGTAATTACAGAACAAACTCAGTTTAAAAGTATAAATGATTTAAAATTAATCATAAAAAAAGACATTATTACCGATAACACTCATATTCATATATGTACACTCAAAAGTAACTGATAAAATATTATTTTACAATTTGATTACAGTTTTTTTTCGCGAGGCCCGAAATAAATGTAAAAGATAAAAGTTAAAAATAATATTTCAAATGAGGTCACTTAAATGTATAAATTTTAAGCGTATGATGTGTAAACAAATTTCTTTTATTGGAAAGGGGCGAACGAATCAAATGAAAAGCGAATTTATAAATGTAAATGAACGAATTAGTTTGATAAGAAAACATACACACCAAAAGTGTTGAGTGAAATATTGTAAAAAACAAATGTAGTTTGTGACGACAAATGAAGAATGGTTTTAAAATCAATTTGTTCACCATCATCCACTCTTAGTGGGGTGATGTAGCGTAAGCATGCGCACTCGTACTAGCGGTAACGCATGTAAAGTACAAGTGCGCATATCAAGAAGAGTTAATTAAAGAGACAGTTCTGATTATAACACACAATAGGAATGGTCGTTTTTATATATTACAGATGAAAACGATCAACATTCACATGAGGCCGAAAATACAAATAATACAAAGAATAAAAAATCTGCAAACATCAAGATTGGAGAAGATGAAGATGCCATGAGGGTATTGGGTTCGTTTTTTAAAAAAGAAGGAAATAAGATCTACTGTCAAGTTAAAGACTGCAAGACAACGATTTCTCGTTGGCAACTATATTACTTTAAACGGCATTTTAGTACAGTTCATCCAACGCTTTTGCAAGACCTATTTCCACGATCAATCGATACGGACACCAAAAGCAAAGTAGAAATGTGTGAGCTGATCTACAATGCTGTTGAACTCGTAACAACACATGGTTATCCATTCTCGATCATAGATACGAAGCCAATAAAAAGATTGTTGAAAGGCCCGCTTGATGAATTGGAGAAAAATGGATACAAACTCACATTAAACCGACCAATGATCGTAAAAAAAGTCAAAGAAGTGAGTGAAAAAATCGTTGACCAAATTTCAGGTGAATTGAAAGGAAAATTGTTCAGCATAATGTTTGATGTTTGTACAAAACGAACATTCTCAGTTCTGGGAATAACAGCAACATTCATGAAAGATGACGTTGTTGTAGCTCGCTCTCTTGGCACAGTTCAATTGAATGAGCGTCACTGCGGTCCATATTTGGCTGGTATGGTAGAAAAAACTCTACAAAAATATAGCGCGACAGTAAATCAAGTCATTTCAGCCACAGCTGATCAAGCTTCAAATATGACAAATACCGCAAAACACCTGGCCCTTCTGGCTTATGATATGGCAATCGAAGGAGCAGAGGAAATTTTTGACGATATATTTGAAGAATTTGAACCGACTGAAAGTGATGACGAAGTTGGAATGGAATTAGAAAATCAAATTGAACTTCAAAACGAGCTAAACAATGATGAACGATACATTGAGTTGGTGACGGACATGGCGCAAGACCTGTTACGTAGAAATAATCTGGTTTCGATGGTTCCAAAAATCCATTGCTGTGCCCACTCAACACAACTATCAGCAAAAGAAACAATCAGTAAATCCGATGCCATACATGTTATCGAAAGCGTACGAGAAATGACCAAGCTCCTGAGAACAACTGTTGTCAATGTGGAATTTCGTAAGCTGATGCCGAAATGTATTTTGCCGCCTATGTTCATTGATATCAAATGGAATTCAGACTACATCATGGTGAATATTTTCGAATTTTCATCTACTAAAAGTATTGCAACTGACATACATTTTTCGTCTATTTCAGTTGGAAGGTTTTGTGAAATTGAAAGATGCTATCACTGAACTGGGCAAGAATAGAGAGTTTGGACACAAATTTGAAACCAACGAATATTTTTGGCTGAAAATCCATGAAATTCTTCGCGTTTTAAAGCCTTTATATCTAGCAACGAAAGATATGCAAAAAGTTGGTTATGGTTTGGCCGATTTTTACATAAGCTGGCTTCGCATCATGAAGAATTTGAATCGTATAATGGATGAGGGCACCATACTGAATATTGCGCCACAATTGGTAATTAACATGGAAAATCGAAAGGCAGACGTTTTCAACACACCATCAATGCTTGCCGCTGTATATTTGGACCCGAGAATAAAGTTCAAACTCGATGCATCACAGAAGGAAATTGCTACACTGTATTTAAAGAAAATTGTGAGCCGACAAAATCAGTTAAATACCGTTGAAGTCGATACCGATTTGCAAAATAATACACTTGATGAATTAAATGCGGACAAACAGAGAATGGGAATTTGCTACAGTAGTCGCTTCACTTTTGAAATGCATTATATACCCGTTTCGACAAAATTTCTACGATAAATTTATTGCAAAGATCATCAATGAACTAAACGAAAGTCATAAAGCAACATGTAAAGGATACACACAAACAACCATGCAAGCAACGTATTTGAAGTTGAAAAACTTATTTGATGAAGCCCAACGCTATGTCGTGTCTGGAAGCATCATTTATGATGCAAAATCATCTACAAAATTTGTTGAACACATCAATAAATTATTAGATATAATATTCAATGGTGCTGTGAAGCAATACGAACCTAAATATGAGCCCATAAAGGAAGAATTATTGGATATGGAGCCTGAATATGAGTCTGAAAGTGAGCAAGAGTCCATAAAGGAAGAATTATTGGATATGGAGCCTGAATGTGAGCAAGAGCCAATAAACGAAGAAATATTGGATAAGGAGCCTGAATATGAGTCTGAAAGTGAGCAAGAGTCCATAAAGGAAGAATTATTGGATATGGAGCCTGAATGTGAGCAAGAGCCTATAAACGAAGAATTATTGGATAAGGAGCCTAAATATGAGCCTGAACAAGAGACACATCCAAAACCTCCAGGTATACTCATAACATCATTAACTTAAGTTCAATTATACATATTTATTGACAACATTAAATCTTTTTTCAATCAGCTCCACGATCAAAATATTCACCACCAAGTACCCCAATTGCTACCATGGTTACTTCTAAAGTGACATCTCATGAGATACCCATGGATTTATCGTATGTTTCACCAGGTAAGATTCACAACAAACCGTGTGGAAAAAAGTGATTGTAAGTAAGGTGACTATGATTGGAATTCATTAATTTGGAATTTTTTTAAGGAAAACAATCGAATATAGTCACCATAATAGTCACTCAGTCAGTCAAGCGATTATTCTCGGTCGTTTTGACTCTCGAGAGATAATGATTATTATTTAAAAAAAACGCACCTCTTTCAATTCTAACAGATTCACAACAAACAAAACAGGTGTCCTTAGTAGCGGAAACAATATTAAACGTCTGCATGGGAAATCATGCAGTAAACGTTTTGTTCGAAGGTTTGCAGAAAAATCCGAGCTGTGAAGTATGTTTGGATAGCGGTAATGTACTGAGATGCGCAGGAAAGTGCGAACGTTATTTTCATACAAAGTGTTTTCACAAATCGATTGAAACCACGGAAATTCAAAATATTCTCAAAATAAAGTTGAAGGAAACCATGAAATCGATGAAAAATAAAAACGAATTGAACAAGGGACCAAATAATGTCGATGTTTGTACGGTTACTGAGAACGTAAAAAAGATTCAATGTAAAAATTGCATATCATCAGTGAACACGAATTTCAAATCGTGTTTCATTTGTTTGGAATCCGATAAACATTGTATTCCATGTTGCGAAAAAAAATGTGGCAAATCATATCACATCGCATGCCTGAAATATTGGCAACAACACAAAATACAATACAAGCAAAATAAAGTAATTGAGATTCATTGCCCGCGTCATGTTTGTCATACATGTACTGCACCGGAAATAAGGAGTTTGAACCACAATAGAGAGTCTGACAATAGGCTGATAAAATGTATACTGTGTCCTGGAACTTATCATCGATTTTCTAAATGTATTCCGGCTGGAAGTGAACTTTTGTCAATGGCACAAATGATTTGTCCTCGACACCAAATAGTAAATGAAAGTGGAAAACATTACAACGTTGACTTTTGCACATTTTGCACATTTGGAGGCAAATTAGTTTGCTGCGATAGCTGTCCAAATGCTTTTCATAACGAATGCCTACCAGTAACACCCGGCAAAAATTTTGTTTGCGAGGTAATTTATTTGTACTAAAATAAAATTATGCATATCTTTATTCACTATCAAATTCTCAAACAATGTGTTGAGCTGATTATTCATTCAGAGAGAAGTTCAGAGATAATGCTTTTATCATACGATCTAAATTTGTAAATGCATCATGAAATGGATAGTCAACTCAATACATGGCTCAATATATTGTCTGGTAAATTGACTATACATACTATTCTTGTTAATACTTTTTAATTATAGGAATGTGAGTCAGGTCGACGACCCCTATATGGTGAGATTGTATGGTGTAAGTATGTAAATAGTACTTGGTGGCCAGCTGTGACGGTTCCCCCACATATGATTCCGAGATCAGTGCTTATCAACAAAAAAGTACCAAATCAAATTTGTGTCTACTTCTTTGGAACACATAACTATGGTTGGGTATCACACCATCAAATTTATTTGTTTAAAAGCGGCGATGACATTGACAGTGAAAAGGAAAAAACCATAAAGAGCAAAGAAGCCGTAAAAGAGGCAGAGTATTGGCTAAATCAATTCCAGGATATATTGCAGAAAAACGGTAGATCTGTCAAAAACTCCAAGCCGCCAAATTATCGAATAATTAAAACAAATCGTATGTTGGTTAAAAACAAAGAGGACGACTATTTTGAATGCAATTGTCTTCCAGAAGATTTAGCACCATGTGGCATTGGAAGTAATTGCATAAATGCTGCCACAAACATCGAATGTGATCCAGAACAATGTCCAGCAAAGGACAAATGTCAAAACCAAAATTTCCATAAAGGCAAACAATACGATGTGGAAATTCGCCTGACCGAATTCAAAGGTTGGGGACTTTTTGCCAAAGAAGAGATACCGGCCGAAACATTTGTTATGGAATATTTGGGAGAGGTGATTGATAATTTTGAATTTCAAGACCGCTTCAAACGCGCCAAATCAGACAACGCCGACAACTATTATTTTGCAACACTCGGGAAAAATCTATACATTGACGCAGAGTTTGAAATAATGATTAGTTTTTTCAATTCATTTATTTGAAAATCAATTACCATTAGTTAATGTAAATTGAAATTTTCAATTTATTTTTTTCAATTCATTAAATTGAATTTTCAATTACCATTTACATTCAAATTGAGAAATGAATTGAAATTCATTTCAATTGCGTGAAGTTGCAGAGATTCTAGTTGGCTCCCATAATACTACTCTCGATTGTTTTCAATTTTTTACCGTCAATTCATTTATAATAACATTTTGAATGTAAATTAAAATGTATATATATTTAAAATTTAATATTAATATACAAATTAAAAAAATTAAAATTTGAAACTGTTTTCATTGCTGCGATTTCTTTTAAACTTATTGACACAGCAACGAGCAACCATTATTGTTGAATGTGCGCATTCAAATATTAACCTCACTTTTGACATTAGCTATGCACAAATACCGCATAAGGCATCAATCTCTGCAACTTCACGCAATTGAAATAAATTTCAATTCATTTATCAATTTGAATGTAAATGGTAATTGAAAATTCAATTCAATGAATTGAAAAAAATAAATTGAAAATTTCAATTTACATTAACTAATGGTAATTATAATTGAATGAATTGGCATTGAAAAATTCGAAACTCTGCATTGACGCTGCTTTTTACGGGAATGAGGCCAGATTTATAAATCATTCATGTAATCCAAACACAAAAACTGAAAATTTTTGCGTATATCACAAGGGTAAAGGAGAAACCAAGCTTGGTATTTATTCAACGCGGAAAATTAGTATTGGGGAGGAAATCACGTACGATTACAAATGGAGTACAAAGAAATTCATCCATGAATTCACTGCTGAAAGTGCAATTTGTTGCTGTGATTCACCCAATTGTACTGGATATATTTAAGTAACAAACATGTTTCTCATGATATTTCTAAATTGTTGACATACATTATTATATATATATATATATATCTTCTGTTCATAAACAGTTCTGGTAAAATTATTATATGAAAAATCACCAGTACGATATCATTTAAACATCAAACAATGACATATCTTTCAATAGTGTCTTATTATCAATTTTCATCCATTTATTCGACAATTTAAATAGTTTTTTACTACTTAGAACTTAAAAATTCAATGTAATAGTTTCTCATACCAATACCATGACTATCTATAGTTTCCATAAGTTATCAATTTATTTATTGAGAAAATAACGAAAAATAAGAACACTAAATTAAGAGAAAAAAAAGTTCAATCTTATAGTATAGTCTTCTAGTATTTTGTTTTTATTCGAAATTTTTTTTTGCAAATTGTGTCAAAATTATCGTGAAATACAAGCAAAACATAAACACATAATTTCGAAAACTTAAAAAGAGCTCACTAACAAGAATTTTTAATCAACTGCTTCTAATCACTTATAGTCACTCATTAAATACATGGGTTTTATTCATGATTTTATTAGTTCAAATTCAAAATTGACTATTGATTCACACAAACCAAATTATTGGTATTTTCATTTATTACATTTAATAATTTCAACACACCCTTTTGATGAAAGTACAACAGAGAGAGGCCTTCGATGAAATTACAAGTATTTTTGAAATAAAGCTACATTAAGTATTGAAATATTTATCGTATTGTTTGATAAATATTTAAAAATATCCTTATAATACTCTTTTCGAAACCTTCTAGTACAGTCTTTTCTTCTCAACCATGATATTGACATATTCGGCGACAAACAAATTCTCTAATACAGTGTATATACAATTTAATGTCAATGGAACAGCATTTTTGTGACGCATAATAAGAATTAAAACAAATCGTTTTGTGATTAAGATTGAATGAAGAATTTACAGTGAAAATAGCAAAATTTGGTGATGCAAATAAACCTGAAGTGATTAAAAATTACACCAGTGGTAGTTCATATATAGTTCATGATTTCCTTGGTCGGGTATCTTATTGGTAATTTATTTAAATATAGTCGAATATATAATGAATTGTTTCAGTCATTTGGCAAAAAATAAAATAAAATGGCGGCATATCGCAGATATTTTGTTTAGCGTTTCCATCTAAATAAAAATATAA